ATTTAAAATCTATATTCTCAACAAATCAAGTTTCATTAACATGTTCTATAGGTACTGTGCCTAGCAGCCAGCTTTCTTATGTAAAACTACTGACCATTACATCATTTCAGAATGTTCTGTTGACCATGATTGCCCTAGACTTTGATTCTGTTTTTTATACCAGAGGAGCTAATTTTTGAAAATAGAGACTTGGAAAGGTAAGTAGTAGAGAATTTTGTTCTGATGACTAGATATTTATATTCAAATGTCCAGCAGTGACCACAAACCCGATAAAAGTCACTTGAAATTCATGACCCTACAATCTTTGTCATGTCTTTGATGTATATCGACAGCTCATGAACGCAGTCCCAGAGAATTGGAAACTCATAATTACAAAATCGTTCAAAATAACTTGTTTATTCCTCTGTACTTTTGGTACTGTTTATTGAGACAGAGTCTTATTTGTTGCCCAGTCTAGAATCTAGCCCATGCAATCACAGACCTCTGCTAATTCTACCTCCAGAGAAGCACCACTACAGGCACATGGCTAGTCCTCTTTCACTTTGTGTGGTGGTTCTATGCAGGCTTTACAGCCAGCAGGAGGGAAAAGAAACATGATCCATGAAGAGATAAGAATGAAAGTCAGCCTGATTCTTTGGTAACAGTAGTGGGCCAGGATTTCTAGAGTCTGGTCCAGACCATTTTATATTAGCCATGTTTAAGTCCAGCACAATTTTGAAAAAACAAAAACAAAAACAAAAACAAAAACGTTTCCTGATAGCATTTAACTCAGTCCCAAATACACAGCAATTGAAAACATGTTTACATTGAGATTCTTTACAAAGTACATCTGGCTTCTTTCATAAGAATGGGTACTGTTGATTCAAAGATAGTGTCCAGGATTTAGGGTCTAGGAAGATGACTAAGTAAACATAACCCCTGCGGGTGTCAGGATTGGCCAGGCCCTAAGATGACACAGAAGTCACTTAGGCTGTTGAAGAGCACAAGTGACATCACTCGTAAGAATGGGTTTTATGACCTAATATCACTGCTGAAGATTTATAGATAAATGGTTTAGGATAAGTGAGACAAATTCTGGGAGATATGGTGGAGCCTGTCTCATCAGACAGCAAAGGATCACCAGGGTGTAAAACCTTGTATTTCCTGACATTCCAGAAAGAGCAGATATGCATCTCACTCCACTGAAGAGATAGGATATATGTTTAACTTTCCTGACTTCCCTGGTGCTTATCTGTGTGCACAGGGCCTTTTTGCCCTTTACGCCTCTCCATATACTTGTATATATTCATCATCACTGAACAAGCACCGTTAACAAAATAGTATTGTTCTGCCTCCTCTTCTCTGCCACCCATTTTTATAACTTTTGCATTAATAACTCAAAATGACTAGTTCTGAATCTATATATCCTGCATGGTTCTTTCATCCTGCTTTTTCTAAGAGCTCTTTGGAGGATATAATTTCCATTATACCTGGGAGATGGATACATGAAGGTCCAGGGGATTGCGTTCAGACTAGACTACATAATGAGTTCTAGGTGAGCTTTGGTTATGTAGTGAGACCTTATTTCAAAACTAACAACAACCCAAACCACAAATAAGTAAATTTAAAAACTGCTAAATAAAAATGAAGATCTTTTCCTTTCTATTTCTGTTTAAAGTCTTTCAGTTGGCTGCTTGTTAATGCTAGGACTTACTCCTTTAAAGGCACATTCAGCAGAGCTGTGAATATTTGGTTTTCCCTTTTTTGTTTATGATCTTAATATCATTAGTACTTTGAACTTTATCTAAGCAAATATACAACAAAGAATTCTGCAATTCAGTGGAGAATGCACAAAATTTCCAGCGAATGGCCACCAGAATTTTTCACATTAATTTTGATATTATTTTCCATTTTTATAAATACGTCATTGCTGTTACAGTTCCTTTTTATAACCTGGGTTAACCTGGAGTTTGATCAATTTTCCTACCTGTGTTTGAACTCCTGATGCTCCTTCCTTGGGACCCAGAATGTTGGGATTACATTTGTTCTTTGTACTTATAGTCATAATAATACTAAAAGTGAGATACTATGACATTCATTTCAGTCTCTTTCTGTGATGAAACACTAGCATTTTTAATGAACTCATAATATGTATATATTTGATTAGACTCTAAAAAGACATAGAAAATTGCTAAAAAGCAAAAAAAAAATCATGTAACTGATGACTAAATGGAAGGACATTTAAATAACAACCTAGTGTCATTGAGATGGATCAAAATAATGATACTTGCCACTCAGCCACTGGAGGTCAAACTCTCACACCTTTATCATGGAAGGAGAGAACCAATTTAACAAGGTGTTCTCTAGTGTCAACATACAAGTACACACAGAAACCATGGCACACATGCATGTGTTGGTACATATACAGAGAGACACAAATACCCATTCACAAATAAATATAAATGTAACACAAAATTCAAATGATACTCTGGAGGAGCTTGAGAATTTATCATGCTAAGCTCCATGGTGGGCAAAGAATTGTAGTATATTTCTTCCTTCTGGGCTGACCTGTGTACTATTATCTCAACCACTTAGATTTGTATTGCTTTCTCTTCTTAAAATGCCAACCTTAAGATCCTACTGTCATTGAGGATAAGAAAATTCACTTTAAATTTTAATGAATTATAGCCACAGGAATATTTCTGTAGACTCCAATAGCAATAATACCAATATAGTTACAAGCATGCACTGAGTTTAGATGTTACCATAGACAAAAAGAAGTATCATGTTTTTTAATATCAAAAGTACATACATCCTAAACAAAGGAAAAGTTGTAATTCCAAAAATGATGTTAAGTACATTTTTGTCTCTTGAAAATAAGGCCATGCTATTAAATCTTAAAACAAATCGACATTTTATATTATTATATTTGTATGTTAATAAAACTTACTGCATAGTCCATCTTCACAGTGATCAGGACAAAGTCCACACGGTTTTCCAATTGAGTAAGGGATGTATTGCCTTCTTACAGTATTACCACTGAAATTAAAATGGAAAACATCAAATACTTTTAATTTTTCTCTGTACACTCTAATGTTTGCTTATATTTACATCTATCTATCTATCTATCTATCTATCTATCTATCTATCTATCTACATACATATATACATGGTTCCTATCAAAAGCTTTAGCTATGCCATATAAAACATAACATTTCCAAAGAGTACTCAGATATAGATGTGAAATAATGGGATAATTAATCCATTCACTCATTCCCTCAACTATGATCTCAGAACCTGAGCAACTGAAATAGAGTAAATAAGAATCTAAAGGTTTAGAAATATTTTAATATTGAAACACTCTATTTAATTCCTGATAAACCTGGAAAATACTTTAGTCACGAATGCTACTTAGGTATAAAAGATACTTCCTATAGAGAGAATTAGATACAGGTATATGTTGTGATTCCTATAGTGTGGAGGAGGTCCCATTGAAGATGTAGTGAGTTTCAGGTATTTAAATGTATAATTGTGAAAGACCTCATGATTAGGAATGTTTGGGTTTTTCTGAAGGTAGTATGTGGGTTTGTGACTCCTATGCTTATCAAAAATGAGAATAGTAATGAGAAAAACACTTTATGAAAAACTGAAGTGTTCAGTATTCTGAAAGTGCCCAGCCTACCCCTCAGTATGAGCATCACTTCCCTGATCATCACAGGAAATTAGAAAAGTCAGATTCTCCATTGCACTGAGGGTGGCAGGGGTGTGTGTGCAATGCCCAAGGGCTTGCAGCAGAATCTCTCCTCTATATGCAGAACACAGCTCTAGGTGTATGAGCAATGTTAAGAATGAAGAAGTCATAAAGCAGTGTACAAGATCTGTCACTTGCTCCTCTTCATTACTCCTCTGATACTTCTAGGTACCAGGCTCTAGATGCTTACTTGACCAGGCAGCTGGGTGGAGTTCAATGGCTTTTTTCTCTATGTTACTAATGCCAACAGAAACATGCTTGAAAATTCTCTGAAGATCCTTCTATTCAACCCATACACATATTAGAAATGAATCATTTAAAAGGCTTGATTTGAGGACCCTCAGCCTCTTGTATAAGTTTCTTGCATTAAAAGGATAAAGAGGTGGAGAGATGTCTCAGCAGCTAAGGGCTCATATTCTTCTTTTAGAAGACTTGGGTTTGGTTTCCAGCATCTACTTCAAGTGGCTTGCAACTGTCTGTAACTCCAGTTCCAGGGGATTTGATGACTTTGGTCTCCACAAGTGTTTAGGGTTGACAACCTGGGACTCGATATCCTATCAAGAGTTTCCTCCCAGAAGAAAACTGATTCCTTTTCAACACCCATTAATTACCCATAGCTCGTTATCCAGGGCAATATAGGCTTTTTTTTTAAATCACCTTTGGTTGTCTCCCTGAACTTGACGATAAGAGCCTATTATTAAAAAATCACCACCTTCAGACATAGAAGTTAGAGGAATTGAGATAGAATTGACATAGAAGCCTCCTTCCTGCAGATTAGCTTTCATAGTATTAGAAGATGCTATGTAAGCTGCCAAGGGAGAAAATAACCAATAGTTATCTTTCTCCAAAACCATAACAATGACTAGCCTGCTTGCTAATTTTCTAAACCTAATTTTTGTTGCTTTATTTATGCATGTAAACACTCATACACCCACAAAGGCTAGAAAAGGTCCTTAGTCCTAAAGTTAAAAATAATTATAACCTACTTGA